AAAAACTGTGCAGGTCCTGACAGAGCCAAACAGCTCACAGGCCAGCGAGAGCTGAGGGTGGACTGACTGGTGTGTGCACACAGCGGGAACTGTGCCCACCACAAGCGGGGAGCATGCCAGCCAGCCCGGCGGCACCGCCATCATCCCACCATGCTTGCTGCACGGGCCACACCCTGCGTGGTCTCATCCAGAGCCTGCCACATGTGAGTGCTGTGGCAGCTAGCTGTGTGCTCACAGCTTTCCAGGTACACCGCAGGTATTATTCCTGTCAGATAGGTGTAATTATCCCCGTGTTTTATATGTGGGAACTAAAAGAAATGAAGAAACTTGTCTGGGTGAAACAGCAGACAGGTGGCAGGAGGTCTACCTGCCTGAAGCCGCGCTGCATTGTCGCCAGAGTGCGGGAGGCCAGCAGGAGGGCATGCAAGGGTGGGCAGCGCAGGCCCCACCAGCCCAGCCCGGGGTTCCTGTAGCCCCCTGGTGAGACAGGGGCATTGGACAGTTTTAACCTGCTGTATGTGACCTTCACATCCCATAACTACACCCTATTATGAGTTTCCCAAGCAACTTCCGGAAACACGGCTCCCTGTGCACACTGTCCATAGGGCAAGAAATTGTTCAGATGGCCCCAGGGTAAGTCCCCTTGGGGGGTGGTAGACAGCCCTCTGGTCAGCACATCAGGCTGGGGGGCTGGCTCATGCCTGTCCTCTCTGTAAGGCAGACCTGCTGCCTGCCAGCTGCTGGGGCAGGGCTGCTGCACCTGTGGGCCCGTCCCATCCCGACCCAGCCTGGGGAGCTGCCCATGGTGCGCTCCCCTGAGCAGCCTGCCTTGGATGGCACTCCTTCTGCAGCACCTTCAGCCTGAACCTCCTTTCTCCTCAGTAAAGAAAGCAGCTCCCGCTGTGCTCCCAGATGCTCAGGAGAGACGTGGCAGAGCCCAAGGGGGGTCCGTGCACAGCAGATGCCCTGGAAATGCAGGGAGCAACACCCCTGCACCCAGAGCCTCAGCATTTGGTGGCAGAATCTTGGCTTCAACAGCCTTGTGCTGCCCTCCTGCCCACATGCCCACCTTGGTAATCACAAACGGGCCTTGCAGACGGCAGGGCCTACATGCAAGTTTGCGTGGGAGCTTGCATGGCCTCCATCAGCAGGGACTTATGGCTCTGTGCAGAGGCCAGAGGGCACATCCCAGCTGCTCCTCCTCCAAAGCAAGGTGTAAAGTCAGTTTTATTCACAAGCTGTGGGGCCAGGTCCAAGTGCCTTTTATGGCTCTGTGCAGAGGCCAGAGGGCACATCCCAGCTGCTCCTCCTCCAAAGCAAGGTGTGAAGTCAGTTTTATTCACAAGCTGTGGGGCCAGGTCCAAGTGCCTTCTGGATCCATCCCACCCCAAGGGCTCAGCAACCCCAAGCTTGCTGGGGCACCAAGCAGCCTGTAGCTGCACAGGCTGAGGGTGGTGGTAGGTTCGTTAGTAGGGGCTCATTAGTAGGTTCGTTTCAGGCTGTATTTTGAAACGCTTCTTTAACGAGCTCTGCAGAGTGCTCGGGGACAAGGAGGACACTAAGAATCTCTGGTACAATAACCTCTGATTAGATGCAATATTCAGAGAGCGGGAACAGCTGAGGTTTCAAGCTAATCAGAGACTCCCATGGTTCTCTAGAACAGGGTCTTTCAACGCCTTTTATTGAGGAGCCTGAAAGTCACGTCTTTAATGATAAAGTTGAGGGGTCTGGAAAGAAGGAACCCAGGGGAGACAGGGAACAGGTTTCAGTATCGAGGACTCTGTCATTCTCATGAAACAGCAGACCAGGGAGGGGACCCACGTTCAGAAATCACAGCAGCGGGTGCTGGCCTCCTCAGGGGAGGTGCTGACGTGAAAGTGTGGCCCCAAGTCGGGGGCTCCCTTGGGAGGGGACGTGGAGGAGGAGGAGGAGGAGGGAAGACAGAGAGGGAACCTGTGGGCATGAGTCTGTGAGTGTGGTGTGTGTGTGTCTGAGTGTGTGTGTGGTGTATGGTGTGATGCGTGTCTGAGTGTGTGTGTCTGTGTATGGTGTGGTGTGTGTCTGAGTGTGTGTGTCTGTGTATGGTGTGGTGTGTGTCTGAGTGTGTGTGTCTGTGTATGGTGTGGTGTGTGAGTGTGTGTGTGTGTCTGTGTATGGTGTGGTGTGTGAGTGTGTGTGGTGTATGGTGTGGTGTGTGAGTGTGTGTGGTGTATGGTGTGGTGTGTGAGTGTGTGTGGTGTATGGTGTGGTGTGTGAGTGTGTGTGGTGTATGGTGTGGTGTGTGAGTGTGTGTGGTGTATGGTGTGGTGTCTGAGTGTGTGTGGTGTATGGTGTGGTGTGTGTGTGTGGTGTATGGTGTGGTGTGTGTGTGTGGTGTATGGTGTGTTGTGTGTCGGAGTGTGTGTGGTGTGTCTGTGTGTATGGTGTGATGTGTGTCTGAGTGTGTGTGGTGTATGGTGTGTTGTGTGTCGGAGTGTGTGTGGTGTGTCTGTGTGTATGGTGTGATGTGTGTCTGAGTGTGTGTGGTGTATGGTGTGGTGTGTGTCTGTGTGTGGTGTATGGTGTGTTGTGTGTCTGAGTGTGTGTGGTGTGTCTGTGTGTATGGTGTGATGCGTGTCTGAGTGT